TCGATCGATATTTACGGCATGTGAATATCAAGCAAATACAATTCCATTATTAGTTATGAATAAATCACTGTGATGTGAGAATAAGAAAACTTATAAAATAAATGCAATATATATTATAAAACTGGTATAGTTAATATAATTCTAAGATTGTATTGATAATCATTAATTTAACAATCTTATATATTTACTTGTTTTAATACGTACGATCTTTTAATATCTTGCAATAATATTTAACTGTAAAAACAATTATTTTTTATGTAACTGTTCACATTAAAATTGACGAAAACAATGTGAGACCTACGCGAGATTAAATTTAAACCGTTTTATTTTATAATTTTAATTTTCGATACTGCAAATATACGCGGAAAAATATATCTCATGGCAGGTGTCAACACAAGATTATATTGGATATTCAATTAGCGTATAAAAATATTAAAAATTTCACACATCGTGAATGACAAACCGTAAAAATAAATGATATACGGGAATAGAGAGATAGAATTAATATTAAGGTAAAAGCGCGCACATAAGCACAAAACACACACACACACACATATATATATATATATATATATATATATATATATATGTGTGTGTGTGTGTGTGTGTGTGTGTGTGTGTGTGTGTGATAAAAAGTTTTATAGAATTTTTTTAGGACAATTTAAATCCAATACCACACACGTAAAAGCAGACTATGGAAAATGTATTCCGATGAATTAATGCTATCTCGTTTTATTATTTCTTATAATAAAATAGAATTATTTTTCGAGAGAGAACATTTATTATGGACAATGGAATGAACTTACCAACACTCGAGGAAATTTCCACAACGCGTGCTACTACACAACATTCGGGAACTCTCACATTCGATTATTCTAACACGAAATATAGCTTGCCCACGCTCTTCACGGAAATATAGCTCGTATATTTTGTACACAAAATCGTTCGTATGTAACGAACTTTAAATCAGCGCTACGCAATAAATTTGTATTACTGCGGTAGAAATTACGCAAACGAAATTAATCAACTATACGAATATGTAAAGTAAATTGCACGAAATTATGCAAAATATGAAAAATAACGCCGATCAATGTATTTATATACGTATATATACATCACATTCGTGGATTGTAATTGTTGAAACTATGTTTCCTTTTAACGTCATAAATTCATTGACCTTTAAATATTTTGCTGTATGCGAAGCCGATTTACCGAAAAGACTATCGAGGCACGTCGATTCAAACGCGCACTTCGTGACAAACTGACTTTAAGAGGAAGCATGTGGGGGCAACGGAACCTTGCGGCTTTTGGATGGGTTAACGCGAGTCCTGATTGGAAGTCTGCCTCACGCATAAGTTCCTTCCCTTCTTTGTTTGACCCTTCTAGCTTGGGATTAAATTCAAGGGCTCAACAGTAATCCCTGGTAACGCTACAGAAGCCTTACGTTGAAAAATACGACGTATCTATGCGACATATATTTAATAATTTATCTTGCTCTAATTCTAGTTCAAACGTTTACAAATGGTTACACTTTTTAATTAATTTCGTGTTCATACTTATTTTGCAATATATTAATATTTTGGTTACTATTTAATTAAATTTTGTAATTGGAATAATTTGCTAAATTAGAACGTGAATATAAATACGAAAACTATAAAAAAATAATATAAAATAATATATAAAATTAATAAAAATTAGGGAATTCCTTATCTTTTACTATTAGATTTATATATTTATTCATATTTATTAAATTATTGATTTTTAAACGTTATTCGTTTTTCTTATTGTTTATGTAATTTAACAATCAATTTAAATTTCTTATAAAATTCGAAAAAATTATATCAAAGAAATCTGCTTCGCACAATCGTACAACAAAATATTTAAAAAGTCAAATGAAAATATTCTTTCTTGAAACTGATTATGAGATTGTATACTTATCGTACATTTAATGAATGCTTAAGCATAGTGGCACAATTTAAATATAACACGAATATTCCCTCTTTATTAAATAACAAATAATTTGTTTTAATAGCCTGAGGCATCTCTCGTAATGAAGAGCCATAACTTTGTCAATCTCATATGTAAATTTCCCCTAATAGGTCACAAGCGAAACGAAATGTTATTTATATCTGAAATTACTTTCTATACTAGCAAAGTTTCATTCGAACTGATAGATTCAGGTCGGGCGAGGTTACCTTGTAAACGATCCCGTCAGGTTTGAAATTTCGAACAACTTTGCACACCGGCTTATAATTCGAGGTTCATTTGCAGTATCCGGCAGGTAGTGTAACTCTTTTTTTTTGTAACAGGTAATTTGCAGGCAGACGAAAGTTTCTACTTACCGATGATGAGCTGCTAGGGATGAGTATATGTCAGAGGAAAATCTGCTCTTCCGAAAGGTCAAACTTGACTGTGTTACTAGGGCGATCAGGCAATTTTGCTCAGATTTTGTAAGCTTCCTTTTGATGGGGAAAGAAAATTCTCGAAGGTCTTGTGCCGATCGGAAACGGATATTTCTGAAATCACAGTAAAAATATCGTGACAATTTTTATTCTTGAAATGAGAAAAAAAATATTTATTTCTCTCTAAAAAAAAAGAAGAATTCAATTATTAATATATTGCAAAATAAGTACGAACATGAAATTAGTTAAAATTATCGTAAATAATTCTAATTTCTAAATAAGACAATGCAAAATATAGAATTTGTTAGCTGCAGAATTATGTTATATCCTAAATATTAGTTTACGTCATCTGATTCCACATGTCGATCCATAAGAGCGGTTCGCGATTATGACAAGTCTGTTAGGAACTTGCGGCAACTTTCATGACATAATCCTGTCATATATAAAGCAAGATTATAAAGTGCGCGAATATTCCTAAGCTACCCCGATCAGAACGTAATAGTTACGTTAATGTTTGCGTTTAATATATGCAAGTCATTTTCTCTCGTGACACTTCTGTGGAAACCTATCACAAACATAAGCCACGCAACTAATTAATATTTGCATACTTAGATGAAGGTTAAAGATGGAGAGGCGGAAAAGAAAGGATGAATACTATATATGAGCAATGTCAAAATTCGAAGTTGAGTTTAAGCTTATGGGAATTTCGTGAAAATACGCGAATATTAGACGTAGAGTAGACTAGTCGGCTTATGATTGTTAGAGAAAATCACAAACAATAAAATTATTGAGCCGAGAGTACCGAGAGTGTTTAAAAGCGGTAACATTTATTCACGCTCGAGCTCCCGCAACACTCACCCAGCATATATTTGTTTCAAAAAGAGATTAATTCTCACCACTCTAAATATTATAGTCAGAGTACACCGTGTTACATTTTTGAAATTGTCGTAGTAAATATTCATACTCTTTTTGAAAATTATGCGCGAACACACTTTAAATAAAACATCGTATATCGTATGCGAAAAGCTTCCTGTTATATTTACACTAGCGTTTAAATTTACGTTTAAACGAATTCAAAAGTTGAAGAAAACTGCAAACATACGACAATGCTTTTTATGCTTATTCTTTCGCGAGTCTGCAAATAAGGTTACGAATTCAAGTCAAGTATTAAAGATATATTTCCAACTCGTAATTTCTGCAATAATATTTGAATGGCCTACACACAGAGAAATGTATCTACGTGCAGGCTAATAAAATTTAAACTTTAGGCCACTAAGCTTTCAAAGGTCCCTGTAGGATATATATATATGTCGGAAATATGCATATTTATAGTTTAACTCCTCTGTTGCGCTTAAATTTCCACCGGGATCCTTTTAAGGGTTATATTAGTTTAAACAATTAGGAAATTATTTCTTTGAAAAGTTTTATAGGCTGGGTAATGTACTGTGAATGAAAGAAAAGTTGAAATATTACGTTTTACTGATCATTAAGAATCATTAACCCTAAAAACAGTTTTAAAACGTCTGCTAAGCGAAATAACTATTTGAATAAGTGACCTAACCCGGTAATTGTTTCGAGCAGTCTATTAACTCGAGATCCTGAAAAAGTCTCCACTCACCTCCGAGCATGATGAGGGAAAAAATAAAAAAAAGTGGCCGATTAATTGTTCGCGAGAGAGACGCACGAGGGAAAAAGGACGCAAAAATTCGCAAGGGAGAACGCGAGAGAGAGAGAGGGAAGACAGGACTGGATGAATTCGTCTATAGGATGCACTGTAAAAAATATATGTAATATATGGCATAAAAATATGTAAAATTACATAAATAATAAGTGTAATTTTACATATTTTTTTACATTGTATATGTATGTCGGAATTATATATATATTTATACTTTAACTTCTCTGTCGCGCTTATACTCCTTTTCAAGATTATTTATATTAGTTTAAACAATTAAGAAATTATTTCTGTGAAAAGTTTGATAGAATGGACTGAAAATACTGTAATGTAATGAAAAAAGTTGAAATGTTACTGATCATGAACGATCATACCCTTAAAAACATTCTTAAGAAACACCTGCTGAGCGAAATTATTTGAATAAAGTGACCTAACCCCGTAATTATTTCAAGCACTCCATTAACTCGAGATCTTGAAAAAAGTCTCTACTCACCTCGGCGTGATGAGGGAAAAAATGTAAAAAGTGGCCGATTAATTGTTTCGCGGGAGGGACGCAAAAATTTGTAATAGAGAACACGAAAGAGAGAAAGAGCAGAGCTCTTTGGGGAGGAAGGACAGAACCGGATGTGGGTTGTATACGTCGCGGAGCGCGCGGGATGTCAACGCGCATGCGCCGCATCCTCGGCGAGCGCTTGTTATGGACGCCTCAGTCTCGGCTCGCCTGGGCAGTAGGCAACACGGCCGACGCCGAAGCACCGCGCCAAGCATCCGGCTGGGGAGCCCCGGGAGATATTCTAAAGATAGAAAGCGCGCGCCGCGCCGCACGATCACGACGCGAGGAAGAAAACGCGCGCGCGTTTTCCGCGCGAGCGACGACCAAGCCAACGACGACGACGACGACGACGGCGACGACGATGGTGAGGAGTCGTCGCGCGTGACGCGGCGGAATCGAGGCGGACGATCGAACGCGGAGAGGAAGAGAGACTTTTCCGCCTCCACGTCGAGGAGGAGGATCTCGAGAGTCTGTCTCAAATCGCGATCCGCGAATGCTCGGTGATCCATGTAGGAATTTGTTACGAGTTCGCGAGTAAATTTAGCGACTTGGAGTTTAAGAGAGCAAATCTCCTCCCGGCTCTCGACGAGGAACGGGACTCGAAATTTCGTGTATATAAATAATTTCGTCTAACGACGAGGAGAAGTTGAATTAGAGACGCGAGTTCAGTGATATATCAACTGGTGCTGGTGCGTCGCATCGCTGTCAGAAACATGCGTGACGGGAATTTGCAGCACGCGGGCGAAGTAGATTTCGCTCCGTAAGCTGTTTGTCTTTCGATAGTTTGTTCGATAGTTTCGGCGCGTTTGTTTTTCTCCCGATTTCACCATAAATGCGTTCGTGGCTGCCGGGATTAACCGCTATTTTTCACCTTAACACTCGTACAAGCAATGCATCATTCACCATTTTTTCCAAATTTAATTAAGTTTATTGATATTAATCACGATATGTGAAGGAGAGATAATTATGTGTGTATTTAAAATGTAAATTAAATTGATTTAAGAATATTTATTTTGTACTATCTTATGCTCGAAAAAATAATAGATATAAATTCGCACAATTGTTCTTTTTTTATGAATTTCTTTGATTAATTTCGAATACATTTTCTTGAAAAACATATATCGAAATATCGATCATTTTTCATTTGCAAGTCATGAAAAGCTTTTCATGAAATGTATAAAAATCCACATTTACATAGAGATAGTAAGAAAGAACAATTTCTCTTTCATTTAACTTAAATGTTAAAAAATTGCGAAGAAAAAGCTGATGTTCAGAGTAAAGTAATATCGATTTCCTATTAATCAATAGGAAATTGATTTTTATTATCAAAGAATCCACAAATAAAAAGATAAGAAAACTAGGACGCTAGATGTTTAAAAGTGATGTTACGCTGCAAATTTATAATCCCTTCAAGATAAAGTATCTAATTTAAATAAAGTTGCAATATACGTCTCTAAATATTTTTAGATAGATAATAATTTTAAAAATAAGCAACATTTTAAAATAAAATATTCAAGGACTTCTTGTAGACTTCTTAAAATGCGTGAAAATAATTAATGAGAATATTATGAAATGCATTAACATACAAAACATTCTTGAGCGTAAATGGTTAAATTTTGAATTTATTACAGTTTGATTTGTCTGCAAACTAATTCTCATGAATGATGCATCGATTTTAAAGTCCAGTGATAATGCTCGGCTTATCGCTCCAACATGTCAGTCTTTTTATCGCGTTCTATCACTTTTCTCAAATCAATGATGACACAACATTAATAGAGAAGTTGCATATCATTTGTAGTTTTATTCGAGCCTTCCAATATTTTTCGACTACGACGACAAATACGAATATTCATAGCATATTTATTATAGCAATTTTATAGCATATTTATTACTAAAACTATTTGATCGTAATCTTATACTGACAATAAAATAAATGCAATATCAAGCATTGAACTATCATAATATCGCAATAATTTAATCTACTGAAATTAAATTGACTCAACTCATAAAGTATATTTTTTATAGAACGTAAACACGGATATTTTTCAAGATAAAATAAAGATGTTTTACAAAGATTAAATTATTATATGTGTATTCTTTTATAGAAATGAAATATATAGGTATATGTGTATAATAATTAATTTAAAGAAATACTTATATATAAACAACACATTGCAAAAATTTATGAAAACCAAATAAGTAAAATGCATTTAATTTTTGTATCTTATTAGATAAACGGTGTTAAAAAAGGTGATAAAATTAGGACTCAAATACAACACATTTAACACTGAATGTAAAGTGAGAAGACAGTAAAAACATTTTCTTCACTGATCAAAATTTTGTCATGACTATTTAATATTTCAACAGCTGCATAAATAACCAAAATATTCGTACACGAATGTTATACGTTCGCTTTAACGAAATACATTTACACTTTTTGCATCGGGAACTTGAAAAAAGCCATCTAAGTTATCCGCGTTACACCCGGTGCGCTTTTTTACGTTTTTACTTCCTCTCAACTTTAACGGCGATGCTTATCAACGTTAGAGATACGTCCAGCGTTTCCTGCAGAAATGGACAACTCGAACGTAAAGTTAGCGATATATAGCCCCGATGAAATAGAACACAGGAGAGAGTCTCTCCTTTCCGGTTACGCCCGGCTGCCTTATAACGCTTTCATCTACTTATCGTTCGTGCTGTCGTTCGCTTCGCGCGTTTCTTTGACGTGCTTTTCGAATTCGACGAGAATCGAACGCGGGGAGAGGGAGAAGAAGCAATGATACAGACGAGTTTGGTCACCAACATCCACACCCCTCGAAACTTCTCCATCAATGTCGCCGGAATTCCGTCTCGCCGCTCCCGATTCTTTCGTTTCTTCCGCTCGACGGCGCTTTACGTCCAACTTGGCTAAGATTTGTCAGCTAAGATTTCTCCTTCATCCCTTTGCTCCGAACTGATCCAATCTGATAGCGCCATTACGCTAATTGAAGCGTCACGTCGTTCAGTGTTATCGAACTAACAGCGAAACTTTGGAAGTCTTTGTGACTGGACTCGATTGATGTCGGATAATGAGAAAGCGTTAATTTTTTGCGCGGAAAGTAACATCTACGGCAGCATCAAATGTTGTTTTCTAAATAAAATTGTAAATAGAATTTATTGTGCAATTTGTATTAAATATGCGGTTTTTTTTCTCGATTAAAAATGTTTCATTTGATTAATCATTTTTTAAAAAGTGTGATCTTTAATCTTTTTAAATATTAAATGTGCATAAGTCTCTGAAAAGAAGTCGCAGATACTATGATATATTGAAAGAACAAGATTCAAAATATTTTTTTATTTAACTAATTTTCTAAAGATTTATTATAATTACTAGAAAACTTTCCGATACCATTTAATAATAAATATTTCTGACTTATTTGAGCTTATCCTTTAATTATTAAATGTGCATATTTCTCTAACAAAAGTTTATTGTTGCAGATATATTGAAAGAACAAAAAATATTTCTTGATCTTTATTAAATTAATTTTCTAAAGGTTTATAATTGCTAGAAAACTTTGCGATACCATTTAATAATAAAAACAGTTCAGATTTAAAATATTAACAGATCACTGAAATGCAAATTAGTAAAGTTTGAGGCGCAATAGGGTTGCTTGTATTTTTCAGTTCCCTGTTTCCATGAAGACCATTTCTCGTATTTAACAGGCTCGTTCGTATCGACGAAGTACTCGAGGGTTTTATTTGTCACCTCATATACCGAATATCGATTTCTCCGACATTTTAGATCGTCTGACACGTTTTCGTCTGTCGAGTTAGTAGCTCGTCACAAATGAGATCGATCAACCCTTCCGGTCGGTAAATATGATAGATATCATCGCAGCCGCGTATGCTTCCAGTTAATGTCCCAGAGATCGAGAAATATGAAGATGTTTAAGGGGGTCGTGACTGTTCGCGTACTCGACTGGACCAGTCAATCAAATGAAGCAAATTGTACATTCATCGATAGCAATCTCGAATAATTTGAGGGACAATCGACGATGAGAACAAATGGCAGGCACGTGAAGATCGTCGTATCGAAACTTTTTAAAGAGTCTAACGAGATTCTTAGGAGAAAAGTGGATTTCTTGTTATAAAACAATGAGAGGATATAATTTGCATACCTAATGAAAATATACAGGTCTCATTAAGAGAAGAACGAATGAAAGAAAAAGGTAGAAGGGAGAAAAGAAAAAAGGCGAGGTGAATATGAAATGTGTGCGAAATTGAAAGCTTGATAAACACGAAACGAATAATAAAAAAGATTTAATAACGAGGAAGATATATTCTAGTGAATCAAGAAAATGAGCTTGTATATTGAAAATAAAACGTGCAAAGGAAAGGAAAAGAGAAGACGTGGATAGAGAAAATTGGATAAAATTGTTGAAGGAAAGCAATTACAGATATCCTCGGAGAAAATAAGAGGACGAACTGATATATACAACTCTAGTGATAAAAGTGGAGAAATCGATGGTGGAAGATTTAGGACCAAAAAAAACGCACGATAAAGTGCAGAGATCTCGGTGAAGGGAGAAAAAAAGGAAGATTTGGCACGCGGAGTAGTGAGAATTGATGTTGAAGGTGAAATGGAGAAGGAGAGACTAGATAGATGAACTCGCGGAACGGAAAACTCAACGTGAAGAGGAAAAGCAGCAACGAGGACACGCGAGGTTTAAGTGACGGGCAACCGCGAAGAGATGGGAAACGCTCTCGAATGAGGGACGAATAGGATGTGGAGGTGGATTAATGTGTGTCTTGGGGGACCGTCGTGTGTCCTTAATTAAAAGAAGAGCTAAGTGTATGCGCGCGTCAAGAATATACCAAGTATATAATAAGATCTGCACGCGAAGAGGGAAAGCTTCCACGAAGTTTACATTGCTTATCTTTGCTGTCAGCGATGGCGAGCGATCGTTCACGGGTGAGCAGCTTAGAAGCGGCCGGTTCGCTCTAAAAAGCGCACATGCTCGCCAAGATCGTGTCGCGCATCGAAGAAATACATGGATGTGAATCTTTCGCATCGGTCACCAAGTGTTCGAAGTGAAGCGGCAAGTTGTTTCGATCACTCGCTTTTCGCGGTCGCGTAATAGTTCACAATTTAATAAAAACTAAATAAATAAACTTTAACAAAGACACACGGATTCTTCAAATTCGACCACGTGCACTGTGTTCAGGAGTAGAGAGCAAAGATTTTCCGCAAAGGACTTGAAGAAATTAAATAATATAACGAATCCTTTATCTAAAGCGTCTTTTTACTGCCGATCAGTGATTCGACAAAAAGCGAGAGCAGTTCTTCATCGTCGATCGTATTTCGTATCATCGATCTCAACGTATAGTGCAGTGCGATTTCCCGATATCGCCGATGTGTCGTAAACTCGGTCGGAAGTGGCAGGAAGTGAAAGCGGAATCGAAGCGCCGTCGCGCAATTTACGGGTTTCGCGGCGCAAAGTGTTGAACCTCGCGTTTACGAATTGGCCGGTTCGGTTAGTGTCTTTCTCGCGACACGGGAGTCGCGTTCTTCGGGACTTGTAGCCGCAACATGGGTTGCGAACTGAGCAAGCTGGCCACCACGAAATCGCGCAATCAGGCCGGAAACGATGGCTCTTCACCACCGCCGCCGGCCGCCACGGATCCGCGACTTCCGCTCACAGCCAGGCAAAAATTTACGGTTATCGCCAGTTGGAAAGCGGTTTCCAGGGCACTGGAGCCTACGGGCGTCTACATGTTCATAAGGTATGTAAGCCGTCATTAACGTCGCAAACCTTTTACGACTCGCTCGTTACAAAAACGTTCGAGCGAACATATGACGCTTGAACGATCGTATCTTCGCGCGCGATAAACGAGAACACGATATACATACGTATGTATATCGTGTTCTCGTTAATGTGAAAGATCGTATATATTTTATATGATTTTAAACTTTAATTACTCTCCTGCGCAATAATTTTGCGGGAAAAAATATTTCGACTTTCTCCTGTTTATTTTTTTCTCCTAGAGTTTCTAATTAAATCACGTTATCATCAGGTAAGCGATTTTTTAATATATAAAGAAATATATGTGATAAAAATAATATTATAAGAGAATGTAAATTCTCCGACCCCTGACAATTCTACAAGCTAATTAAGAAATAAATATCAATAAATAATGCTTCAATAAATAATACTTCATTAAATGAGCGTAATATTGCTACTGAAAATATATATATACATGTATATATATTCTTTATCTCTTTTATTTTAGTAACTTGCAAAAAATAGTGTGTTTCTTTAAAATGTGTAATTAGCAAATTTACACATATTAAAAGTAGGTCAGGCAATAAATTATTAACTGTAAATTTATAACTAGACTTTGTGTTAGCAAAACATTAAAAATGACTTTATTCCGATATAATTTCTTAACGCTAAAGGTAAGTCTATAATTATTGGATTATTTTTACACTTTTTACTTGTTTCACACATTATCGATCACATGACTTAGTTGTTGCTTTACTTATGATACTATAATATAATACTTTATCTCTCTCTCTCTACGATAGCTAAAGAGGATGAAATGTGATAGGAACTGTATTAGAGATATATTTGAAGTTTCTTTTGGAGCAATTAAGATAACTACCCTGATAAATGATACTCTGATATCATTGAACACGAACGTACAGATAATTACTAATTGATTAATTAATCAGAAAAAATAATTTCGCGGAAATTACATACATAAAATATAATTATATTGTATATCTGACTTATATATTTTTCTATTATTTATAATGCAAAAATCAAATTATAATTTATATCTAGATGCTTAAAAAACAGAAATAATATCCGTAAACATTTTTTTAAAATCACGATTATTTCTTTTCAACAAATAAATTTTTTCATTGATTTCGATTTTAAGTGAAATATACACATGTCTTTGCTATTAACACGTAACTCATCATACGGGCAAACTCGTAAACAAGAAACACAAGTGAAGTTTTGAAAACTATTACATGCAATATATATAGAACATAACTTTATAGAAACATATTTTATGCATTTTCTGGGTCAAGCAAATTTGCATTTTTCAATAATAAAGTGTGATCCACCCACACACACATAAAGCAATCTATTTGTTTTCATTATTTTTATAAATACCTATGTAATTTTTTATTTTTAATAATATTATTTTTCAAAAAATGTGCATGTAATAAAATATTTTATTTTTCGATAAAACTTTTTTCATTCCGACCATATATATCGTGAAATAATCATCACTGGAATATAAAAAAATTGCACAGTGAAATTGGTTAAAAATTTTCCAGGTTCTGAAAATAATAATCCAATTGTTCTATAAATACTATATTTTATACAAAAGTCGTTTAGATGTAATTTTAAACGTGTGTTTGTAGACAATTTAAAAATTGTTAAAGTTAAACGAGGATTTTTTAGATATATTAAAAGAGTGTTGTTCATAAATTTTTTTCTTTGAAATTTTTCAGCGAATTTTTATTTGTAACCATTATATTTTTTCACAATTCTTTAGTTCTTATTAGTTTTTTTTAATAATAAGATTTAATATATGAAATATATGCCTGTTTAATCTATATAATAAATATACTATTAAGAATATATAGAAAAGAATTCTCTCTCTTTGGAACTATAAATAACAAATTGTCCTATACAAATTTCAGCATTTATAATGACATTTGCGTAGCAGAAATCAATACTATCATAAGACTAACACCGTAGAACTTAGTAATTTTGACGCGACAGTAATGTCTCTATTACAAGGTTTCGCGTAGTATACTTGAGATTTCGGCACGTGAGCCGGAAAGCAATTTTGTCTTCCGACAGTATATTAGTACGGAAGAGAACCGTGTTGAAAATTCTGTCTTCCATAAAAGATGGTGACCGTATACATTTTCCAGAGTTAGGATACGTTTCGCCCGCGTCATGCGCCATTACGTGATTAGCTGAGCGTTTAGGCTCTTCAAGGTTGCCATCAACGTCAGACGCAACCCTGAAAGAGGGTGGATGCACTTGTCGATCCTTACGCTCCCTTCACGCCCGTTTTCATCGACGTTCCTTTGCAGAGAGATGCCTATCGGTGGCTTGTAAACCGACCGTCGCGTCGGCCGTGTCATCGCTCGTGCATCGAACTGAGGGATAATCCTCCTTCTAGAGACCCCGTATTTTGATCATACAAAGCTGTGACGCGCAAATTGAACGTGGAAGCACGGGTCTAGCTCGAGACCGCCGTAATTAAAATCGCTTAACACTTAATAAGCACACACGAATTTTCCCATTCCGTTTTCCGCTAGAGCGATAATAGTAAAAGAATTTATGTAGAATCTTTTTATAAATTTTATAATAAAAGTAAACTAATTATTATTTGCAACAAAGCAAATATTTATTATTTAATTAATTTAATTTATGAGCTTAAAGCACAAATATAAAATGTATAGAAATTTGAGAGCATTTAAGATTTTTGATTAAAAAAGGTTGCGATTTTATTTCACAAAGAAGTAAAGTTTCAAAGTTTCCTTAAATTACAAGAAGCAAGCGATATATTTAAGTTCGTTGAGATGCAATAATGTAAAAGTTATCGAAGTACACCGTTTATGATGATAAACGGAGCACTGATATTTTCCTCTTTCATTATATAACGGAAACAAAAGAACGTTATATTATATTTCATAGGGGAAAAAATGATTTGCTATTATCTTTGGTGAATAAAGAGCTAAGTCGATTTTCATAAATGTTGCAAATGACCCGATTAAAAAGCTTCCATAAATAACTGACCCAGTGCAATGTGGATAAAATCTCGTTCCAAAGCATTTCGTATAAAAGACGCGCCTTCCATCTCGATATTTTTCTCCAGAGAGAAAACAGATTGAGTCGTGATTGTGAAGATTTTCATGAAGGACGCTTGATTCTAATCCGCAAGAATTTGTCGACGTAATTAGTTCGCAAAGTACTAACATAAAAGACTGGCACTTGTGTCTGTTAATTTCCACAAAATTTGGCAAGAGTCCCTTATTCACAGACTAGTCTTGACAAAGGTCTCCCGGAATACTGCGCGCAGAGAAATATGTACTTTTGTAGAACTATTACTTTATATATCACTGTGAAAAGCGTCCGTGAAGGAGCTTCCTTTGGCAGCCTTTCGATCGCGAATGTAGCAAGCTGCAGCAAAATTTGTCGCGATTTGGCACAATCCCGTTCGAGTTTGTCCTCCGAACAAAACGCTTGTTATATTATCACGGAATTGTCTACTTTTTAACTCAAAGCTTACGCAACTCGCCGTTCGTTCCGGATTCCAATATTTGAAAAATCGGGCTGACATTTGCTTCAACAAATTTTCAGAATCTGTTGTATTTTTAATTTATTTGACTGTGCAATTTTTTTATATTCCAGTGATGATTATTTTACGATATATGTGATTGGGATGAAAAATGTCTCATCGAAAAATTAAATATTTTATAAAATATATATATATATATATATATATTTTTTATCAGATGTGTTTTTTTCTTTTTCAATAAGTGATTAATCATGTTATTTTCTATTACGTGCACATTTTTCGAGAAACACTAGATATATAGATTGGAAATCTTCAATCTTGTAATTAATAATTCATTAAAAGCATTGTGATAATATCGATAAACCAAACTACTTGTCGCATAACGATAGCTTTATACTGAAAAAAAATTGTTGACTTTACTAAACCTTTTAATTAAATTACTATTTTGTTAATTGAACATATTCTATTATTTAATTTAAATAAATTATATATTTTGTGTTAGATTTAATATATTATATTTAATTTAAATATTTTGATATATATGTTTAATTAATAAAATATTATTTAGTCGAATATTATTTAATCATGTTAACAATTTTTCTTCGGTGTACGACTGCTAATTAAATCTAATATTGTACAGTCAAGTTACTGAATTCTGAATTTTAATAATTTTCGAGTTCTAAAGGAACATTTAGCTCAAAGAGCTAATAATTTTAATTTAGAAATATATTTTGCAAAAATAGAAGATATTAAATTTTTTAATTGCTCATCTTGGAAATAAATATATATCGCGAAAAACATTCGAAAAGAGAGAGAAAAAGAGAGAAATTTGAAAAGAAATATGATTATATTTCTCGTCACAATACACCAAAGCCGCAATAACGTCGACGACGAAGTAAATTCTCAGGAGTCTCCGATAAAAGTTACTCTATCGGCGGGTTATAATCGAGATTCCAGAAAGTCTGCTCGCTTTTAATTGAGATATACGGGGCGAACAGCTGGAAGAGCAGCTTGTCGTTTATCCTTCAACAGGCACAACCGGACATTGATCCAATCGTAATACATCTAGTTGTAAACGAGATTACGTCTCGTTCGAGGACACCGCGCGCGAAGTGTCTCGTTAGATTAAAGTTCTTCAAATCAAAAGTCCGCATGCGAACCCCATCGTACCTATCTATACGATATTGGATTGACGCCGATTAAGTTGAACAATCGAGCGAGCATAACCTGGACTGTCCGCTCTCTTCACATCCTTTTTTTTTTTATCTGATGAATTGACGCCTAACTCTATCGCGACTTTAATCCCTCTATCACCTACATCCGATCTTTATCGAAGTGAAGAAATAGGATATAGGTCATAATTTAGAACTGTAATGCATTAAAAAGCGCAATTAAAATTGTCATTTTAACTTTATATCATTCAAAATTATAATTGAAAGCTTCAATAAAAATTT